GGTGAAGGTTGGATTAGGGTGAGGGCTGACTTGGGGGGAGCAGTGAGGGGGCTAGGGCTCGCCGGGAGTGAGGAGGAGATACTGGCCAAGGTTAAGAGGAATGGGTGAGTGAGGCGCGAGAGTTAGGGTTATTTGGGGATAAGTGGCGCGAGATATGAAAGTGAAAAATGTGGTAGTATATGATAGCGGTTAAATCTTAACCGTTATTATAATATCACTTCTAATAGCGGTTAAATCTTAACCGCTATTATATAGCACTTCTAATAGCGGTTAAATCTTAACCGCTATTATATATTTTCAAATATGATCGATCATTTGAAAATGTAATCGATCATAATCAAAAAATGTGGATGTCGCTCGAGCGAGATCAGTGTCGCTCAAGCGAAAAACAACCCGAGAATGCCAATTTTGTGCAGGTGGCGTCGCTCGAGCGAGACCATGTCGCTCAAGCGAAATACAACCCGAGAATGCCAATTTTGTGCAGGTGGCGTCGCTCGAGCGATGTTATTTTCGCTTGAGCGAATGTTGACCTGCTAACCGTCGATCAAAGTTAGCCGGATAATGTAACATGGGTGACCTCATGTTTGAATCGGATGTCGCTCGAGCGAGTATAGTGTCGCTCAAGCTAAATACAACCCGAGACTTCACAATCTTAAAATCTGGTTGTATATGATAGCGGTTCTACTGGAACCGCTATTAAAAGGGCACTTCTAATAGCGGTTAACCCTTAACCGCTATCTAAAATATACTTTAGATAGCGGTTAACGTGGAACCGCTATTATATCTTCTCAATTATGATCGATCATTTCTAATTATAATCGATCATAATGAAAACTTACATTAACTATTTTTTTTAATATTATGTTTTTAAATTTGTTATTAGAGAAAACCTTTCGTAATTCAAAATGTTAAATACTTTTAAATATTAAAATTAATTTTATCAAAAATTAGGAAAAAAAATTAATCCAAAAGAGTTCAAAAATGTATTATAATATTGTCAATTTTGAGTTTAATTATATTGTTCATTCTCAAACTAGAAAAATATATTGTAATTATTTTAATTTAAAAAAATATAATTTAAATTTTTAATACTAAAATTAAAAGATTAAATAATAATAAATTTAATTCTTCAAATTCAGTAGTTAGAAACTAAAATTATAGTTTCTCTGTTTTAAATAATTAAAATAAATATTTAAAAATAAAAATCAAAACTAGTATTATCTTAAATTTATTAAAAGTGTAATTAAATCTCTATTTTCTTAATTTTATTTGTTTCAAACTTCTCAATTCTACATTTTTGTAAGTTCTATCATTATATTATCATCATCATCTCCTCTCATGTTCTACTTTATCTTTACAATAGTCAATATTCTTAAATAATTTATATTTTTAATTATAATTTTTTAGTATATATTTCAGAAATTAATCAATTCTAATATATTATTTGAAAAACTAATCAATTCTAATCAATAATTTAGAAAATTAATCGATTATAATTAATTATTTGAAAAAATTATCAAATATGATCGATCATTTCGAAAATATAATCGATCAGAATCAAAAAATCTGGTTGTATATGATAGCGGTTCCACTCGGAACCGCTATTAAAAGGGCACTTCTAATAGCGGTTAACCCTTAACCGCTATCTAAAATATACTTTAGATAGCGGTTAACGTGGAACCGCTTATTATATCTTCTCAATTATGATCGATCATTTCTAATTATAATCGATCATAATGAAAACTTACATTAACTATTTTTTTGAATATTATGTTTTTAAATTTGCTATTAGAGAAAACCTTTCGTAATTCAAAATGTTAAATACTTTTAAATATTAAAATTAATTTTATCAAAAATTAGGAAAAAAATTAATCCAAAAGAGTTCAAAAATGTATTATAATATTGTCAATTTTGAGTTTAATTATATTGTTCATTCTCAAAGTAGAAAAATATATTGTAATTATTTTAATTTAATAAAATATAATTTAAATTTTTAATACTAAAATTAAAAGATTAAATAATAATAAATTTAATTCTTTAAATTCAAGTAGTTAGAAACTAAAATTATAGTTTCTCTGTTTTAAATAATTAAAATAAATATTTAAAAATAAAAATCAAAACTAGTATTATCTTAAATTTATTAAAAGTGTAATTAAATCTCTATTTTCTTAATTTTATTTGTTTCAAACTTCTCAATTCTACATTTTTGTAAGTTCTATCATTATATTATCATTCTCATCTCCTCCCATGTTCTACTTTATCTTTACAATAGTCAATATTCTTAAATAATTTATATTTTTAATTATAATTTTTTAGTATATATTTCGAAATTAATCAATTCTAATCTATTATTTGAAAAACTAATCAATTCTAATCAATAATTTAGAAAACTAATCGATTATAATTAATTATTTGAAAAAATTATCAAATATGATCGATCATTTCGAAAATCTAATCGATCAGAATCAAAAAATTTGTTGTATATGATAGCGGTTCCACTAGAACCGCTATTAAAAAGGCACTTCTAATAGCGGTTAACCCTTAACCGCTCGAACGATGTTACTTTCGCTTGAGCGAATGTTGACCTGCGTAAACATCGATCAAAGTTAGCCGGATAATGTAACCTGGGTGCCTCATGTTTGAATCGGATTTCGCTCGAGCGAGAATAGTGTCGCTCGAGCGAGATACAACCCGAGAATGCCAATTTTGTGCAGGTGGCGTCGCTCGAGCGATGTTACTTTCGCTTGAGCGAATGTTGACCTGCGTAAATGTCGATCAAAGTTAGCCAGATAATGTAACCTGGGTGCCTCATGTTTGAATTGGATGTCGCTCGAGCGAGAATATTGTCGCTCAAGCGAAATACAACCCGAGAATGCCAATTTTATGCAGGTGGCGTCGCTCGAGCGATGTTATTTTCGCTTGAGCGATATTGCAAAAATCAGATATAATCATGAATTATTTTCTCATTAGTGACCGATTTTAATTCGGTCGCTATTACAATTTGTAATTCGGTCGCTAAATCATTCGCTAAATGATTATTTTATTTATGTATGAAATAGTCACCGATTTAGCGACTGAAAATTTGCGACGCACAAAAATTGGTCGCTATTTCAGTTGCTAAATAAAAAAGTTAAAACCAAATCATATTTTGGTCGCTAATTGCGACCGAATTAAAGTGGTCGCTAAATCGGTCTCTAAATACGACTAAAATTAAATCGGTCGCTAATTGCGATCGAAAAAATTCGGTCGCTAATTTCGGTGGCTAAATGTGTTTTTTCTTGTAATGAACCCAGAATTTAATAGTCAACCCTGCATTAATTATATGACATCCATTTGAACCCCTTCTGAGCCAAAAATAATATTGTTTCTTAAATAGAACCCCTGAGCCTAAAAACTATTTATCTACCTTCCTATTGAGAAAGGAAATGAGTATGAATGTTATTATTTTTCCTATTGTTGGGTATTGATATTGCTGTCCTATGGGTATTATTGGGATGTTATTGTTAAAAAAAAAGGAAAAGGAAAAGCAAAGCATAAATATTGTGGCAAAGCCAGAAAGGATAAATGCAAAAGCATGAGAAAAGAAAAAAAATGCAAAAATAGTTCAAGGGGGGATAATAACTTGTGAGATTATTAACTCACTATCATTGTTAGGGACAAAAGCATGAAGTTTGAAACCTAACTTGAGGAAATGTTAAACAAGAATCATTCATATGATTTGAATTTCTCAAATACTTTTGTATATCCCAGAAAAACCAATGAATTCTTTCTTAGCCCAGTCCCATTACAAGCCTCAAAAGACCTTTTGATTTAGGTCTTGCTTAACAAATGTTGATTGCTTGAAGATGATTATCAATATTAGATTGTCTAAATGAAGTGATCTCATTCCACGGAGAAGCGCCTGGCCAGACAAATAGCTTAGTCGCTGGAAGATTCCCCAACTGAGGTACAATAGGTCTTAGGATCATCCGATCTATGAGAATCTCTGGGAAAGCTCTCGTTGACTCAACCGATCAATAGAAGGAAGGACCACCTCTGAGAGGAGCCTCTTCTAGTTTTTGCATGACGATCCCTTCCCCCTTTTCTGACATCAAGGGATAGAAAGGAAAAATATTATAGCAAAATAGCCTACCCCCTGTGTCCAAAGCCAGTGCCAGCTAATGAGACATGCCATCCATCCCCCACTTCTATTGGATTGAGAATGGATTCGACGTTCTTCTACGTGGATGTCTTCAATGAAGAAGTTAATAAAAGCAAAAAGGTAAAAAAGAAAGAAAGAAGGGGTGTAGCAGATTTGATCCTCCCCTAACTACTACTCGAATTCATCCCTCTCGGTAAGTGAAGCTCCCTCCACCCGCCGCCCTCTCTATCCACTAACTTCGGTACCCGGGGCATTTCCCTCACATGCTAAAGAAAGAAAGCTCCTCTCTTTTATGATATGACATTTCTAAAGAAATTTACCCAGGAAAACTACAGCCAAAATGACTTCTTTTATTTCTAGTTTTCCCCGTCAAGTTGAAGAAGACTCGCCCCCGAGTCGTTAGTACTTTCTTCACCATAATAAGGAAAGAGATCAGAAACTTTCAATGTTTTTGAAACCTCATACTCAGCTGGTAGTTCAATCTTGTAGATATTTTCACCCATGCGTTTGAGAACTTTGAAAGGTCCATCAGCTCTAGGCTTGATCTTAGCAAATTGTCCTCGAGGGAAACGCTCCTTTCAAAGATGAACCTACACCAGATCACCTTCTTTGAACTCAGAAAACTTGCGATGCTTGTTAGCTTGAGCTTGATACTTCCCTTTTTTTTTTTGCTTAGAAATTTTCTCGCTCATGCAACTTCTTAATTTTCTTCACCTGCATCTCCACTAAATTTGTGAGTAGCTGGAAGTGGAGCTAAGTCCAGAGGACTCTCGGGATTTTGGCCATAAACAGCTTAAAAAGGACTACTTCCACTAGCTTTAGATTAGGAGTCGAGAGAAGTCTTCGAAGAACTGCCGTAATGGCGAAAGACGAATCAGGGAAGGAGGCAAAACAATTCATAATAACCTTGCTTACGCCCTCTTCCCACCAGTACCCATAAGCCCGTTAGGGTTAGATAAGGTGCGAAGCCAAGGCTTCAGGATGGAGAATGAAAACTCTCATTCAGTGCTCTGCAATGTTGGTGGTCACAAGATGTACCATCCCAAGATGTGTACACTCGTGCTGGTAGTCGTCTTCTTACTCCAGATTGAGTGACGAGAAGGAATTAGCCCTCTGCGTCCTTCACAAGATTGGTCTTCGACACCAACCCATCATTGCGTGGGAACCCTATATAGATAGGGCACCTTGGTATGACTGAAGGTGTGAGCTGCATGACTGTCATCCATCCATGACTAGATGCAAACTCACTAAGGACTATCTCCGGTGGATCTTCTAACTTCAGTCTGTGGTCGTAGATCAGGAAGGAAAGGTATATTCAAAGAAACTTATCTTACCAAGAGTTCCGGCACTAGAGAGATAGGATATGTTCTCCATACGAGGGAAAGTAATTTTTGTCTATCTGATCTCCTTTAGTTGAGTCCCCTATCTCGGTAATGGGTCTCGGTTTTAGCGATATTCATTCCTTCTCTCAGGCTCAAGCTCTGTCTGGTCTTCCTTCCCAATTCCCCACAGGATTTTGGGAGTGTCGGCTTTGTTCAGACCATAAGACTTGCAACAAGCTTGACTTATACTTATAAAGAAAGAAAGAAGGTGAGACCTCATGCTTGTAGCTTCTCTTCTTGCTACTCGCTACTAATAAAGAAATGGCGTGATAGAAGATAAAATTCTCCCTGTATCCCCCCCTAAATCAAGATGAGATGGGCGGGTTCAGTCTGATTTTCAAATGTCGTTGACTTCGACCTTTAGCAATTCGCCCCTGAACCTAGTAAAAAACCTATGATGCCTTCCTCCCTTCGGCTTTCAGAGTTTTGAACTAAGCGGACTTTGCATTGGCAGCTGAGCTTCTTTCTTCCGATCCTCACTCAGGCAATCAAGGAAAGGGTCGTGAGGATCCCAACTCTGAGAGGAAGCCAACATTGACTGACTTTCATGGTTAAGATTCGAAAGAAGAAAGAAGAAGAACTAACAAGATAAGATCAAGCGGTCTCTGCTCCTCTCTAACTAAGAGGAGAAGTAGAATTGTTTATGGACTGCCTTGCTTGATCATCCTATCAGTCATGGTAACAAATTGAGTATCTCTTTCTTCTTCGGTAGCTGGTTTGACTGTTTGTGATCGAACAAAACAAGAAGAGCAAGATATATCATAGTAAAGTAGAGCTATAGACTGCATGATTGGATTGTAGGAGAAAGAAAAGAAGGATTCGGGACAAGACGGAGATGCAAGCTTGTCTGCTATTGGATGTTCTAGTTTAGCTCGCGGATTGGTCTTCATTGCGCACCATCCGACTGGTAAGAAGTTGAGATTGTTCCGCTAGTGTTGCTTGGTCAACAATTTGGAGAGTTTGCTTTTCTTTCATATTTCTAAGAGCACTCTGTTTGATCAAATCAGGGATCAGACCACTCTTGGTGTTCGAACTAGTCATTAATGGTCGGCTTCAATTGTATCCTTTCGGTATGCGTTGTGAACACTTTCATTTTTAGCGTCTCATCTTCTCTAGAGAAGCGAAACTCAAACGGATAGAGCAGATGGTCCAACTACATAACTTTTTTATTTTTCATTACTTCTATGGTCGTGCCTCGTGGCACGGCAGCACCCTTACTATTGAAATGGTTCATCAGTAGAGATGTTCCCACTGGTGCCCCTTTTTCCAATGGGACTATAATTCCTATTCTTATCCCTTCATTCCCTCTTTTGGTCTATCTACATTCCAGGAAATTCATACGCTCCATGGACGGAGCAAAAAGTGGAGTCTTGGTCAAAGCAAGTCGCCTTATTCTATTACCAGACATAATTGGGAGAAGCTCATCTGAAACTAGAGCTAGAAACACCTCATTTCATTTCGTTCCCGTTCTTCATTTCCTTCTTCTCGAATTCAAGGGGGAATTCTCATATTTAGAATCTTTCTGCGGTGTGCTCTATTTACTATTATTTTGTACTCTCTTCTCTTTACCACGCGATAGGTCAGCAAAGCGTGAGCGGGCGTGGAGAAGGAAATGCCAAACACTTCGACCTAAGCCTAACGGGAATGAGCAACAACGAAATGACAAGATGGGGTGCTTCGGGCACCCCAATTTAGAAAGAAGGGTCAAAGGTTTTGGGCCTGTAGCTTTCCCCGTCCCCCCTACGTCGGGTGGTGCTTGTGTGGGGGGTGTGCCACCTGAACCTGAAATCGGGCTTGAAGCTCTCGCCTTACCAACGAGCCAACAACTGATGGTTGTTGGTCACGACTACCACCAAAAAGCTCCAATGAAGATTAATATTTCACATTTTGGAGTGTGCATCTGTATGTTGGGTGTTCTTCTGTCGTGCGACCCGGAGGCTTATGTGCAACCTGTGGCCCACGCCTCCTGTTTGTTTGTTCAGGGCGGGCGGCGTGAACTCTGACTTGATTCGGGTATTCAATCCCGCCGTTGAGATGCTCAGTTGACTCCTTAACCTTGATAAATGGCTTATTCAATAATTCGTGCATAAGGGTAAGGAACTTTGGATGAACGAATGAAAATGAGTGTAAGCCTCGCTGCTCGGAAACACCCAGTGCTGACCACACTGAGAGACACGAAAGCGCAGGTAACGCCAGTTGGCAAATTGGCATTAAGCATCCCTAGTGGTACAAAAAGAGAGGTCGTGATGATATCATCTACGTCCGTACCGCTCCTCGTGGAGTAGATCCTGCATCCAACCAAGTATTTGACCAGGTGGGAGAATTCCCACTACTGCTGGAAGGCCATCTGGGTCGTGAGCGCGGTGGGAACGGGCTTCCCAAAAAGCCAACCCCGGGCCAGGGTCGACATAGAATGAAGGGGACGGTCGTAATGTTGTTGTGTTCACAAAGCCAATTTCTTGGGGTGCAGGTGGAGAAGAGCGGACGTGGGGACTCAGATCGGGGCACAACGTAACTGAGAGAGCCATTCCATTCCATTTAGGGTGAGACAGAAGACAGTACGCACTCTTGATGTAGATAGAAGGCATTTCTCTACTCTAGAAAAGTCTATCTCTATCGAAAGAATGAACTGCTAACTGTGTGGTAAATGGAGTAGGAGAGCCTTCTTAGGATCTGTTTTCATTGTGGCAATTGGGGCCTGGTAGACTATTGCAGACCTTGTTCATCAGTATGAGCTTATGCTTAACCTGCACGACATGAAAGAGCAACCTGGACAGTCTATTCTCAACTTATATTCTTGGTTGTCCTATGTATGTATGTATGCATGTATGTATGTTTTTTGGAGATTATTCCGCTCATGCTAAGAAGTTTCTTGACTCTCGCTCTCACTGATGATTTTGAGCCTGCTCGAGCCTATTTACTTTACTCCATCGTCGCCCCTTTCCTACACTGTATAGTGTTGTTGCAGAACTAATCTCTTCAGAGACTTAACTTGGAACTATGAAATGACAATGAACTTCATTAGTGAGGGCTACTTCTTCTATTATACCTTATTCATTCTTTCTGGCTCATCGAATTCTTGTTACTGAAAGAAGCCCGGGAATGGAATTCGAGACTGTCTCACTCGGCCTCCTCACAAGAACACACCTAAAGGTAGTCAAACCCAGTCTCAACCTCAAACTCATCATTCCAAGGCTGTTGCTACTAATGAGGATTCTTCTTCTTCTGAGCCTTCCTTTGAGTTAGTTAAAAGCCCTTCTCGTCATAAGCTGCTCCTTCTCTAAGGCATTTTGCATTTGTCCATCTCTAGCCTTTGAAAGCTATCCTAATCCTCTTGTCAAGCTGGGCCAGGCTAGCTCTCTTATTCTGGATTGGCCATTATTAGATTAGAATACCGGTACAAGCCGTTAGGAGAGGCAGATCAGTAAAAGTCTCTTGCTATAAAGCCACTACTACCTTATTCAGTCTATCCCGGCAGTGCCTGAATGGGAGTCTAGGCTAGCCAGTGCATCAAACTTTTGACTGAAAGAACTACTTTTCCAGCTAGATCGGACTAATTGTTTTTATTACCATAATGATAACACTCAGTGATTCGGGAACTCTACCTATCTCAATCCCAGGATGAGAGAAGTTCAACAGGAAAGGTCGGCTTTGCTTCATATGTAGCGGATCGGTATTCTGCTATTCTCTCTCGCTTGATACCGGACATAGAAGCCTATCTCAATCAACCCAACTATCTAACCTTTCTTTCACATCACAGCTATCCACTCTCCTTTCTTTTTTTGTTTTTGAAAGTCAATCTTTTTTTTTACGCTAGGCTTTAGTCATCCTAGTTCTACACAGGAAGGGAAGAGAATGACCAACTTCCATTGTCAATCCCCAAACGGCTTGAAGCATCTGGTATTGGTTCATCTACCTTGATCTGCCTTCTGAGTGACATGGAAGACTGCCCCTTTCAAACTTCTTAGCTCAGAAAGATTGGAAGATGAAAGCTATCTCATTCAACATCGGACTTGTTGTTGTATTGATTCCCACTTGTTGAAGCTCTATCTGGTACTCCCTTGCGCTAGAAGCTCTTGCTAGATTATCTGACATTGACTCGCTATAAGAAGATTGTCTGAATAGCATAATTATTATATATGTGAAAATAGTGATTGATAAGGGCTATCAGATAACAATGAGTGGACTGGCAACCTGTACTTCTTTCTTTGACAGGCATTGTTGGTCCTAGGTCTGGTTGGGTAAAAAAGTTGGGGCATAGCTTCTATTGCTGGCTTGTCTGCCCTATCTCACTTATAATTGAGGACTTTTGCAGCGATATGTCGATCAAAAAGTCACTCCATTTTGACATTCATATCTTTGAAAAACGAGTGGAGAGATTTTCCCCTATACGGAGATAGACTATCCTGATTAGATTAGGAATTTCCGTAACCGGTAGATTGGATTTCTGGTGGAAGTCAACAAGGACAGATTCCTGTTGGCTAATCGAATGGAAATCCCATCTCATTTCGATTTGAATGCCTAGACTGAGCAAACAATATCTTTGCTCTCTCCTAGTGGAATTAGCATACTCCGACATGAACTCTGAAACTCTGATTGTTATTTGAAAGGGTTGACATAGATTGCTATGCTAATTCGTTCTCTAATCAAGACAAAAAAAAAGGGGATTGAGATCAGTCTGTCAATAGCATCAATGAGAGAAGAAAGGACACTCTCCATCATGCAATGAGAGAAGAGAGATGTACTGAAAGCATGATCTCTCTTAATTCTCCAATAGAGAAGGAAAACCAAATCCTTCTCTATTGTTTCACTGCAGATAGCATCCAAAACTCGAAAATGTAACAAAAAAAAGTCAGATGTGGAACACATGCAAGATTGCACTAGTTACAGAGAGAAGACAGCCAATCCAATAGAGCAAGCAACCGAGTCACAACAAGGAAAGCAAAGAGAGAAGCTAGTCACAGGTAAACATGCACTCGTCTCTAAGCTCGATTGACTGGCCTAGTTTCACTCGAGAGATAGAGACCAGTTACTGAGCCAGTCAGATGCTTGCCTGGCCTTTTCTAACTCCCCAGTTTCACAAGCAAGCCAGGCAGATCACCTTGTTCAAGGATTTCAGAGCGAGTACTTCCAACAAAATGTCTGCCTAGACAGAGCTTCCAACCACTTGGACCCGATGATACACCTGCATGCAGGTCATCCTCTGTGAATCGGCAAGACAGGGAGAGAAAGACATGTCGAACTCACAAGAGAAAGACAGCCAATGCAGTCAGTCAGAGAGAGTTGGGAATTCTGCTAACTTAATTCGGAAGACTTGCTAGTCTAAGAGAGATTGGATTCATGCTTCTGAGAATCTCAGTAGTATACCAGGAATGCCCTATTGAGTGTCATGCCTGAACTCATGTTTCGGAGAGTTCTTGTCGGATCAGTTATGCTTATGCAAGGAGAGAGCATCGCTAAGGGAAAGTTCAATCATTGGGAAGGTCAGACACAAGAAACCCGAACTGCCTAAAAGGTAACTAGCTTGTCGTCTTCTTTCCTCAACCAGTGACAGGCCTCACTATCTACTGGATTTGGTCTATCGGGCAGCTAGATCGGACTGGTAGCATGCTGAAAGTCCTGTGAGGAAGGTCTTCCAAGAGAATGGTTGTACTGATTCAAGATGTGACAGCGGGTCAGTCAAGAAAGCTGCCAGTTCTATTCTACGAGCTGCTTCCAAAGGTGAGAAAGCCTGTTTCTCTGAGCTAAGATAAGACACATGCCCAGAAAAGAAAAGAATCTGAGGTCTATGATGTCGAACCGACATCCCTGTTTGGAATAGGATTTTCTTGAAACGGACCGGCTAACCACTCGTTTTCTCAGTCGAGCAAACCTATTTAAGAGATCATGCTTCTCTGAGGATAGTTGAGGAATAATTATTCTTTGTTAGTTTCTGTAACTTGAATGCTTATATATTCTATTTTCATTTGGAGTCGTGAGCATCACATCTAAAAATTTGTTTATGTTGTGGTTCTGGAAGAGAAAGTGATAATAGGCGATGGTATTGTTTTGGAAAAATTACTTTGTTTGGGACAAGCAAGATTCTAGGTTGGGGGGAGTTGTTAAGTGGTAAAAAGTTGATATAATTATACTTTGAATTGTTATGAAATCACTTAACTTATGTTAATTCTAATCTATTTTTTTCCCAATATAGGATGAATTCGAGAATACCTTGATACAAGAGCAAAGATCATAATTGTGAAGTAATTAAAGAAAAATTGAAAGAAAGAAGAACGCTTAAGCGAATGAATGATGCGAGGCCCGGTCCAAATTCTTTTATAAAAAGATAAGATGTATTTTGAGAAAGGAAGTAATTTTGGGGAGAAGAGGCGCGACTACTGTTAGGGTTTCGTCCAATCTTCATCAATTCTTCACTTCTTCCTCATTTGGAGCATTGTAATGGCCAACATGAGTGACTAACTTCATTCTCTTGGGATTTGGTGCACTTCCTTTGAACTCTTTTGTATCATGGTGATATTTTAAGATATTAATCTATGTTTTGATGTTGTTATTCTTATCCATTGTGCTTCGGAATTATTTATTCTTGATGTTTGGAATATGATTGGAAAATATATCGTAAACCCTTGATCACGATAAGAATATTTGTTACGTTAATTGTCAGGAATGTAATGAATGTATCAATTTCTTAACACCCTAAACATAATGCTGGAAAATCTCTTAATTGTGTGAGGAATCAACATTTATTAGGTTTTCTTATGAATTTCATGTGTGAGGAATCAACATGGATGATTTGAGTAGGTGGCATCAACATTGTTATGTTAATTTACGTTCTTAATTGACATAGCCATTACAAAAGAGGGATAAGGAAGGAAACCAATCCTAAGTAACTTTAATTGATATTTTCTCAACAATTTACAATTCTTTGTCATTTAATTTCAATTCAACTCTTTATGCAAAACCCAATTTGTTTTAATCCACTTATTAAGCATATAATTGGGAATTTCCATTGAAATCGTTCCTCGTAGGATCGACTTTTATTTAATCGAAATACTATACTGCGATTGATAATTTTGGTATGATTGCCAATAATTCAACAGTACGCAAGACTTGAGAGTGGATGAACTGAGGGTAATTGTGTGCATGTGTACTGCATTCGACACATTGTAGAAAATTTTATGAGAAGATTCAAGAATGCATCTCTCAAAAAACACCTTGTCAATATGGGTAACAACTTCTATTTTATCTAAACTGTCATCTTGTCTATTCTATGTTAACTTTTATTATTTCAATATACAACACATGTAATGACAGAGCCAAGAGCAAACTACTATTACAACATCATAAGGCAAGTCAATCCAGAAGTAGCAACCTAGATTAACGAAATTCATAGGAACAAATGGGCACTTGCATATGATGATAGAAGAAGGGGCCACCTAACAACCAACTTAGTTGAATCCATCAATCTAGTCCTAAAGAAAACAAGGAATTTGTCAATCTCCTCTTTGGTCATGGCCACATACACAAGATGCAACAAATTTTTCACAGAAAGAGGGAGACAAATCATAGCAATGATTAATGTTAGTCATGTCCATTCAAAAGTTACATCAAATGTCTTACAAGATGCTTATACAAAATCAAACACTCATAGGATACTTGAATTTGATAAAACCAGTTGTCGCCGCCATAAAAAAGATGGTGGTCGGAGCGACGCGATGGTTTTTCGACCCTTTTGATTTTCGCGTTTTTTATGGGTGGTTACAACGCCTTTAGGTTTTCCAATAATCGGGCTAACCTAGGGGCGAGATTTTCGAAAGGTGTCCTTGGGTTGTCCGATAACCGGGCTAACCCAAGGACTTATTTATTTTGGGTTCTATGGAGTCACCACCGATGTTTTTACCGGAAACATCGGAAAAGGTTTTTTAAAGGCGTTGGTTTTCAAAAACCAACTTTGGTCATTAGAACCAGAGTTGGGTAAGGGAGTTAGTTACGTGTAAAGGCCGGCTGTCGCCGCCGTCCCTTTCCGACGTCCGGAGGAGGACGTCTTAGAAACGTTTATGCGAGCGGTCGCGAAAAGATGGTTTAGACTCGCGTTTTTGTTTTAAAAGGTTTTCGAAAAGGGGTTCTTATGGAGTCGCCACCAATGTTTTGACCATAAACATCGGAAAAGGAAAAAATGTTGATTTTAAGAAAAACCGCACTTGGCCATTATAACCAGAGTTGGGTAAGGGAGTTAGTTACGTGTGGGGAAGGTGTTAGCACCCCACAACGCCCCTTTCGGGTTCCCTATGACAGATTAATTCATTTAAATAAAAAATACGAGAAATTACGCGATTACCCTATTTTATTACATAATATTAAATGACTATCTACATGATTTTATTCTATGTTGCATGCATAAAATGCTGAATAAAGTTAAATAAAGCAATAAAAGAGATATTAAAATAGCTATCTACATGATCCTATTCTACATGACATAATAAAGCTAAATAAAACAATAAAACAATAAATAAAACAATAAAAGAGAAGGGAATTGAAAAGAACCTCCGTAGCAAGCTTTATATTGAGAATCTCGAACTGTGAGGATGCGTTTTGGCAACCCCTCTCTCTACACAGTCTCTCCTCACCAATACAAGATCGACTCTACTAAAATTTTAAAGAAGAATCAAATGCCGGAATATAATTCCTTAACCGATTGTTACCTATTTAAGGCAATCGAAAAGATCATTCGAGAGAGGGAGAGAAGTAGACAAGTGCTCTAAAGTGTTTCAGAGCTCTCTGGAGTGTTTGTGGTCTGAAAAAGTGGCAAATGAGCCTCCTATTTATAGTTTTTCGCAGCTGGCGCACTTTGGGACGGCCGTCTGGGTTGGGACGGCCGTCCGGACTGGGATGGCCGTCCCAAATGGCAAAATTACACGAACGGGACCCCAGGAAGGCCGGGACGGCCGTCCCACTTAAAATGGGTTTGGGACGGCCGTCCCAACTTTGGGACGCGCGTCCCAACTGAATTTAAGAGGTTGGGACGGCCGTCCCAACCCCGGGACGGTGGTCTCGGCTCGTTTTGTCCGAGTCTTCGCGTTCGGGACCCCGGAAGCTTTCCTTTCCTTTTTCGGACATAGATTGATGCCGATGTGTGTCCGTTGAAGCTTTATCTTCATATAGGGAGTCTTCTTGGCCTCCAATAAGATGCCGGGCGAGCTTTGTCTTTGTGTAGGAAGTCTCTTTTGGCTTTTATCGTGTGAATGAGTGAACTCCGTCTTCTGTTGTGGGAGGTCCTTCTCGATTTGGGAAGCCGGATGAACTCCATCTTCGGGTGAAGTTCCTCTAGCTCTTATTTTGAGAGGCCGGGCAAAATTAGGGGTCTACACCGGCTATTTAAAAATATTTAAACCGTGGAAAATTACGCTTTTGCCCTTTATATTGTGCGGAATTTAAAAGTATGACTACATGGCCCTAATCTATTGCATAATGTAAATTTAAAGCGATAAAAGGGGAGAGGAAGAGTTTAAACCTCCGAAGCAAGCTTTTTATATTCCTTTAAAAGAAATGGGTGCTTTTTGGCAGCCCTTCACTCTACAAGATGCCGGAAACTCTTCTGGACGTTGACAAAATGCTCTCAAAGACACTCAGAAACTCCGGAAATGCGTCGGAGGGATTCTAGAGAGAAGTTTTTAGAGAGAAGGCAGAGCTAATGCTTGTGGTGTGTGGAAATGAGGGGGGGGAGAGCCCCTATTTATAGGTTTTCGCGCCTGTCAGTGGCGAGATCGCCAGTCTCGTTTGACAGGGTCGAGACTGCCGTCTCGTCCAACGAGACCGCCGTCTCGACTACCAAACGCAGCAAGACCACCGTCTGGGGAAACGAGACCGCCATCTCGCCCTTCGCAGGTGGCGAGACTGCCGTCTCGTCAAGCGAGACGGCGGTCTCGCCACTTGCAGGAGGCGAGACGGCGGTCTGGGAAATCCAGAGGGCGGTCTCGTCCCAACAAGGCGAGAAAACTTATTTTTTGGTACAAAAAACTCCCTCCTATCCTAGTATGGGGCCTAATAGTCTCTCCTAATGGCTTGTTAGGCTTCGTCCATCTTCAAATAGGAGGTCTTCTGGTCTTTATTTGGAGGCCGGGCAAGATTTGGGGTCTACAGCTGCCCCCCCTTTACCCGACCAGTCGACTGCTGGCCTTTTGTGCCAAGGTGATCGACTGGAGGGTAAAGGAGTTGACCCTCTTGCCCGGTTGCCCTTCAGATGTTCCGTCTTTGCGGCGGATGATCCTTTGGGGAGATGCTGTGTTGTGCGCTTTCGGGATGCTCCTTTGTCGCGGTAGCTGACCCCTTCGGCTGATGAGTACGAACCCCCACCTGGTTTGACGAGTATGAACCCTCGCCCGGTAAGCCCCCTTCTGTAAGGCCTGATGAGTACACACCCCATCTGGTGTTTGACGATGAACCCCCGCCTGGTAAGCCCCCTTTTGTAAGGCCCGATGAGTACACACCCCCATCTGGTGTTTAGCCTCCGGATGCTCCATCTTACGGTAGCTGATCCTTTGGCTGTGGTGGCGGCTTACTGATTCTGATCATGCGCCGATGTGAAACCTCGGGATGCTCCTTTGACGCGGTAGCTGACCCCTTGGCTAACGAGTATGAACCCTCGTCCGGTTATGTGCCTCCGGATGCCCCTTCTTGCGGTGGGTCGACCCTTCGGCGATGGTGGCGACTTCATCGCTCTAGCTCATGCGCCGGCTCTCTGGGGAGTGATTTCTGTTTTGGTAGATGTGCTTGGACCTCTTGAATGGTCGTCCGGGCTGTGCCGAGGAT